CACTATGTAAATGATACCTGCACACAAATAACAAATACTTGCAACCAGGCGTATAAGAGGGTTGGCAATCCCTCCTGGGCAGTAGATTGATAAATAGATAGATTGATAATTGCAAATGGAAGAACGGCAAATAAAACACAACAAGGTATTTTTTTTGTTTTTGATAATATAGATCTGAAAATAAAAGTTACAAATAAAGAAAAAAGCAAATGTCAATGTAGATCTGAAAGTATATGATAGGAAAATAGACCCCGGCGCCGTAGATTTCACTAGTGACTTCTCTCGAAAAATGGCAACGATGGGTAGACAAATTACTGCTGGGCAATTGATAGAAAAATAAATAATCATGACGATATGCAAGACAATGATCATGTATATAGGCATCACGTTCAATATTAGTAGACTGACTCCTGCCTGCATCTACTACTATTACTCCACATATTGACCGCTATTCAGCATGCATCTAGTGTATTAAGTTCATGGAAAAAGAGAGTAATGCAATAAGAACGATGACATGATGTAGACAAGATCTATTCATGTAGGAATAGACCCCATCATTTTATCCTTAATAGCAACAATACATGTGCCTTGCTGCCCCTTCTATCACTGAAAAAGGACATCACAAGATCGAACCCATTACAAAGCACCTCTTCCCATTGCAAGATAAATAGATCAAGTTGGCCAAACAAAACTCAAATATCGAAGAAGAAATACGAGGCTATAATAATCAAGAATGGATATTAAATCAAGTTGGACTATCAACTAGGACAAAAAAAGGCAGACCCTAGTTGTGTGTCGATGGTGGACTTTTAACTGCGACAAAAAAAATCAGACCTTAGTTTCGAGTCGAGGATGGACTTACAATTGAGACTAGAAAATATGGGCACCAATTTGCGAGTCGAGGGTGAATTTATAACTAGGACAAAAATGGTGGGTCCCAGTTGCGAGTCGATGGCAAACATGCAACTGAGACAAAAAATGTCGGGGCCAGTTACGTGTCAATGGTGGTATTGCAACTTGGACAAAAAAAGGTCGGGTCTCGGTTGCAAGTAGAGGGTGGATTTGCAACAGGGACAACAAAGATCGAGCCCCCAGTTGCAAGTCCTCGGTTGTGAATTAAGGGTGGACTAGCAACGAGGAAAAATGAGAGAAAAAATGATCGTACCCTCGAAGGTAGACTTATAACTGGGGCCACGGCCGTGATAAAACATGTTTTTTTGTCTCTTTCAATTCTAAGTCCTAGTCTAGAAACAACATATGAAACGGGTTGCCAGCAGGCTGCGTTAATGGGTAGACAAAAATAAAGCCTAACAAGCCCAACCCAACAAACAAACAACTACAAGAGATGTGAAAGATAGAGCACTTGCACGAAAATTATGAAAACTAAATCAAATGATGGCAAACTTAGATGAAACATCGTTTAAAAAGGTTGTGAATTTAAAATATACTTATACTTATGAAACTAAAAAAACCATTGGTTTTATGACAAAAAAAGAAAAGAAAAAAGTTTTAAAAACCAAAAGAAAAATTAGAAAAAAACAAGGGAGAAAGCTAAAGAGAGATGGCGGCTAGGAAATACTTGAAAAATAATCAAAAATCCTACATACATGGACAGTTTACGCAGCATTATGTGCCTGATTCCAAACTAATCTTCTCTCCCCTCCTGATTTTCAGTGAGGATGGGCCCGTCAGTTTATTTATATCCAATCATAATCAGCCTGGTAAGCCACTCCGTAATACTCTATAAAAATAATCCGTGCGTCTAGCATTGCTCAAAAATAATGCTCACCTCTTCCAATTCTCCCCGAGAGCACACTGAAAAAGAGGATCACTCTCCACATAGAGGCAAACATAAAAGACCAGCCTCGTCCAGGCCCAAGCACAAATAAAAAAGACCAGCCCAAACACCGCACGCGCACGTAAACACTGGAAGGCTAAAAAAAAGGAAGTCACACGCAGCAGACGATCATAAAATTTACACGAAAATTGCAGCTTTAAATCATGTAGTGAGATAACTATATCTCATCTAGATGTGACTTACCAAATTAAAAAATGAATTTGAAACAAAAAATGAAAAAGAGAAATAAAAACAAAAGAGGAAAATGGAAAATGGAAAATAAAAAGCAAAAACAGAAGAAAACAGAAAAGATGAAGAATGCAAGCGATCAATGCGAGACGCTTCTTTTATGAGAGCGAACACCAGATCAATGTGGACGCTTTCTCCTTTGTGCTTGTGCCTCTCATTTAGTTATCTTACTCGCTCAAAAGAAAAAGCAGCCGCCGCCGCCGAGTAGAGAACACACAAAATAAAGGTAAATGTTTGTGGCGCGTGGCGCGTACGATACAGGGCAATCGAGCGTTTCATATTTTTCCTCTCCACACCAATACATCAGCACATGGGTCTCGTGCGACATCTGGCCCCACCTCCCGAGCTCTTTCTCTCGTTCAGCCGCTATCTTCTTCCTTTGGATCCCCTTCTCTGCCAGCCGCTATCTTCTTCCTCTGGATCCCCTTCTCTGTCAGCCGCTCCTCGTCTTCCTCCTTCAAGTCCCGCCGCCAGCTAGCCCCAATCTCACATAGGTCCCCATCTCCAACACCAGCGCCCACAAACACTTCTTCCACTGACCACTGCCCTCGGTTTGCAGATTCATTCCGTCCCAGCAAGCCAAAGTTGGGAAGCCGCCATGGAGATGCTGTCTACGAGATGCTGCTCACAGTTTCATACGCCAAACCCGTCTACCGGAGATGCTACAACTGGCGACCTAAAAAGCTACAACAGTTTGATTCAAAAGCTTCAATCTCCGGCATATAAAGTTTTCAACCGGACACCATGCACTGAAAAAGCTACATTCACTCATATGAAAGCTTCAACCGGCGAAAGAGTAGTTTCTCATCCGACCACTACGAAAAAAAAGCTACAACCATTGTTTTGGAAAGTTTCATCCATTGAATTGAAAAGTTTCAACCCTCTTTTCCAAGTTAAAGGCGGCTACTGAGAAGCAAAATAAATGAGGCAACTGACGACAAGAACTTTGCTGGAAGCGGCTGAGTTTTTGCTGCATTCGTCGCCATTTTTTGCTACAACCCGCGACGGATTTTGCTACATTCATTATGGGCGGAGTTGCGACCTACTACAGAGGTGACTTTTTTTGTTGCAGTCGTCCTCAGATTGTGCTACTACCAGCAAGGAATTTTGCTACATCCATCATGACGGAGTCGCGACCCGCAACGGCGGTGACGCCGAATTGCTGCAACCGTCGTAAGATTTTGCTATCACCGGCGTTTTATTCTGCTACATCCATGAACGGCATTTTTTTTGCTATGACCCATGATTTTGTTTTTGTTTTTGTGACCACAAATTGAGGGTGTGGTGCTGCGGCCATCTTCACCGGAGTTGCCATGAAGATAAGCGCGGACGGCCAAGGATCCTATGGCGAGCACCAGACCGAGGACGAGCGCGTGCGGCCAACACGGCGAGCGGAGGTTGTCGGCGAGCACGAGGGTAAGGACGAGGACGAGCGCGGGCGGCGCGACGGCAAGGCTGTGTACAACTATGGCAGCGAGCTTCAACGGCAACCGCGACAACAATGACAACGGCTGCGATTTGCGCCGAAGAACGGTTGCTGCAACGTTTCGCCTCACGTGCAGATCTGACGGCCTTCACTACCTGCATCAGACGGCTGGGGTTTAACCGACCTAACAGTTGAGCCGGTGCGTCGGTGTAGATCGCTACCCCAAAATAAACAGGCCGAAAAGCACGGATAGTGGCCAAAGAAATGACGAATGCGGCACACCGTCAAGCCTCGCATGAAAAAAAAACCCAACGAAACGAGATGCAGCCAGTGACGCAAATCAAGCCTCTCACGAGAAAACAAGCAGTAATACATCGAACGGTCCAGGACTTGGATGTAAGATAAATATATTATATCTAGATGTGCAATAGTAATTTTGTTCTCAAAATATGGTTAATCACTGTACATTTGAAAAATAATTCGTTACTACTTTTGTGGATCGAGGAAGTGGATAGTAAACAGCCGGTCCTTTTCTTGGGTCCCTATATATTCGGCCTCCATCTGTTCACCTCACAGTAGAGTACTCCAAGTCCTAGGCACCTAGCTACTGCGAGATGCAGAGGCACGCCGGCGATGAGCTCACCATCTCCGTCGACCCAGACACTCTCGACTGCCCCATCTGCTTCCACACCCTCAGGCCTCCGGTGTTCCAGTGCGCCGCCGGGCACGTGCTCTGCTCGTCCTGCCACGACAGACTCCGGCAGAGCCGCAAGTGCCCGGAGTGCTCCGTCGCCACCGGCTTCAGCCGCTGCTACGCCGTCGACCGCATCCTGCGGGCCGTCCGCGTCCCTTGCCCCAACGCCGCGCGCGGCTGCGCTGTCCAGACGTCCCTCCACGAGCGGGAGGAGCACGAGAAGTCGTGCGCGTTGCTCCTGCGCCACGGCCTGGCCACCGTCACCATCAATGACAATGCAAAGGTACGTAGGATTCGACCTTATGCTACCTCCGACCCCGATTCGATCTGTCCTGCTAGCCATGTTGATTGATGACTTGTGTGAGATGCAGGCGGGAGAGGTTGTCAGGATGGGCCCTTGCGG